CTTGAACCTATATGGGATACGATATGCATAGTAAAGACTAACTTTATTTATTCATATTGGATTCAATTTCAAGGGAAACCGGAACTTGCATTTCTTTTGAATGCTCGTGATGATAAACCAAACTCATCCCTGCTAAAAAGAACAATCCATTTTTTAACGGCTTGCTTTGATTTTATTGTGTACATTCAAATCTTAATAATACACATGTTTATAAATAAATTCTTTTCGTATTATATTTGAATATTGTATGCAAATTTTTATTCCCTCCTCCAAATTAAATAATACGCGCATCATTTTTTGCGCGCCAATTTTATTTTCCACGCATATTTATTATTAATTTGAGTAAAGAATCTAGTGATTATGGATTTATATATTTCTATTTTTTTGAAGCATTATTAGAAAGTTTAGTGAAGAATGTTGTTAGTTTTGGCATACCTTTCGTATTTGCTTTTGAAAGAGTAACTTGTGCACGAGATAATTTTTTTTTCTATATATATAATGACATTAAGAATTTTAATAAACACTTAAAGCAAAGAAATGTCAAGGGATAAGTCATCATCAATTAATTAATTACCTTGGCTTCTGGTTGTTGCTTTCCAAAACCAAACTCTTTTTCCAATGATTGCTTTGCATAAAAGTCATCTGGATTATCTATAGATATGCTGGCGGTTTTTTCTAGTTCATCCAATTTCTCGAAACTTCCTCAAGAGAGTTCGGAATTTGGAAGAAAAAATGATAGTTTAGAATTTTGAAATAATTGAACTATAAAACGCAAAGCTTACTGCTTACTTATAAAATCCTGTTAATTTTTCTGCCCAATAAGATGAAAGATATTCAGACAACAGTTCGAGGACCGCCTTAGTCCGTAGAGCTTACCGAAAAAAAATTTGGCTATATTAATTAAATGATGTCACTAATTAGTGAATATTTTGTCAATTTTACCTTGTCGAATTTCTGAACATCTTGAATCGTTGTCAAATCGGTTTATCAAGTTTCGTAACGACTCAAATTCATCGAATCTTTGAACTAGATGAGAGACCTATATAATATATATTTACAGCCACCAATCAAAACAATAAGCTCTTTTAAGTTCAACAATTAAATTCATTTTCTTGCCTTTGCCTGCAACCAAACTAAAACTTTTTCATCATTCAGACGGAAAACTTTTTTACTTGAGTCATATTCTATAAAACGTATTAAACTATTAATTGAACCTATAAAAGAATAAAGTAACCATCTTTCTAAACAAACCTTTTGTATCGCAAATCCATTCACAGTACTCCACGATATTCACAATACTCAGTAATTTAATCAAACTCGGATATTCATTGCTGTCTAAGATCTCTTCAATCAATAGAAAAAATCCTTGCGAATTGGATGTCTTATGTAATGATAAAGGATTAAATTATAGTTACGAGAAGATGCAGCAAATATATTCATTTCGATCCAAAACCTTTTTCCGGCGATCAACCAAGATTGGTAAGAGAACAAATAATGGATCTATTTTTGTTATTATGTAAATACATCCATCTATAAAAAAATTCGTTAAAATGATTGAGAATGATTATAGATATATATAATATGAAATTATCATTTTTCTATTGATGTACATATAATCACTTCTATACGGTCATGATCACATCTTTTCCTATATATAATGTACCTTTTTGGACAGTGTCATTGATAAACCAAGATCTCTCTTCCCGACTCTCACATTTTTGCACCTCATAAAGTTTTCCATCTTGGATAAAGTAACGCGCAGGTAAACCTATACATGAATCAAGCACATTAAAAATCGGAGAACCTGTTTTTTGAAAGCTAATTAAACATAATGATTGATAAACCTGTTACTGGATGCGGAAGCCTTATCGATAAAAGTTCGGTTGCACTAGCTTAAAAGAATGTTTAATTTAACATTAATGATTAATTATAGAAAAGCATCTTTTTTCTTACTAGTTGGCTTTATGCATACGAATTGAGACATCTTTGTCAAAAGAAAGAGAAAACGCGTCAAATTTCATATTTACGCGGGATCAAACCTTATGTAATAATCATGTGATTTAATTTCAGAATCAAAATGACCGGAAAACGAGAAAGAGCTTATGTTATCGGAGTGGGAATGACCAAATTTTCAAACCCACGAGGACATATCGATTATCCTGGTAAGTTTATCATTGCGACGTTCATTAATATGTTCGATGAACCTGCCATTGTGTCACCTTGTCGATCAAAATTTTTAATGGCTAATTCATTTTTGAAGAACTTGGACGTGAGGCCGCTTCGAAAGCTTTATTCGATGCCGGAATTAAATATGATGATATTCAACAAGTATAGGCATATCCTTCTCAAATAATATTTTTAAATAAAATCAATCTGATATGTGAAATCTATTTGAACAGGCATTAGTTGGATATATCTATGGGGACTCGACTTACGGTCAAAAGACCTTGTATCAACTTGGCATGACACAGATCCCAATAATGTGTGACTATGCTCATATAGCTCGCTTTATGTTTGAACTAGAAATTAATAATTAATTGGAATCTGATAAAACTTGCTTGACTTAATTATTAGTAATGTTAATAATAATGGTGCAACTGGATCAACCGCTCTTTTTATGGCACGTCAACTTGTTGAAGCTGGTCTTATCGATTGTGCACTTGCTTTGGGATTTGAGAAAATGGCTCCTGGTTTGTAATCTGATTTGATTCATTTTTTTTTAATATTTATTACTTAATTGGATCTGGCTTCTTAGGACCCTTGACTGTCAATTTTACTGATCGCACCAACCCCGTTGGTAGGTTATTGTCTATTATTGCTAACTTTATTAAAAATAGATTAATTAACATTCTCAATGTTTATAGAACTCAGTATTTTATTAATGTCGGAGGCACGCGGTATCGAGTCGGCTTCTATTCCTGCCCAAATATTTGGTAATGCTGGCATTGAATATTGTGAAAAATACGGAGCAACACCTGATCACATGGCAAAAATTGCGGAAAAGAATCATAGGCACAGGTTAGTAAAATTCTATATATTTTTGCTCAATCACTTAAAACATCCGAATAATGAATAATTTTATATATTTAACTATAGTGCTAATAATCCCTATTCGCAATTTCGTAATATATTATCTCTTGATCAAATCAAATCTTCACCGCATATTTTTGGTCCTTTGACTAAATTTCAATGTTGTCCTAATGCCAATGGTGCAGCTGCAGCTGTGGTCGCCTCTAAAAGGTTCGTTTGTGATCATGATCTTCAAGATCAAGCAATAGAGATAGTCGCACAATCATTGGCGACAGATTCGCCATTATTATACGAAAAAAAAAGTCTGATTGAGCTAGCTGGTGCTGATATGACAAGGCGAGCGGCAAGAGACGCATTTAACAAAGCTGGAATTACGCCAAATGATGTTCAAGTTGTAGAACTCCACGATTGCTTTTCGGCGAATGAGGTAATAAACTTTTTTTGCAATAAGCCGAATATTTTATAGATTAAATTGATTTTCTTTTTTTCTAGCTTATTACCTATGATGCATTAGGTCTTTGTAAACCAGGAGATGCCCATAAATTAATAGATTCAGGTGATGTAACTTATGGAGGTAAATACGTCGTAAATCCTTCGGGTGGACTGATATCTAAGGGTAACCCAATAGGTGCCACTGGTCTGGCTCAATGTACAGAATTGGTAAGACAACTACTAATACGCTATCATTGTTCGTGTAATCAAAAAATTTAAAGATCCTATTTTTTCCCAAAGGTATGGCAATTACGTGGATGGTGTGAAGAACGTCAAGTGCCTAACATTCAATATGCGCTTCAACATAATATTGGTCTCGGCGGTGCAGCTGTAGTCACGATTTATAAGCGAGCAGAAGGATTAAGCAAACCCAAAAAATCACAAGATCCACGAAAGAGATTTGGTTACAATCCAGCAATCGAAGCCAAACCTATTAACGATGCGGATTTTAAGCGAGTTTGCTCTTCTGCTAGTAGAAGTGAATATGCTCTGGGAAAATTATAAGTTGTTTATCGTTAATTGGATTGTATTTTTAATGATATGTTTGAATTTATAACCTTATAGAGTTTTTTAATTACTTGATATGTTTAAATACTTTATCACTTTATAATGTAGCTAATATTTTCTTCACGTAGCCCAGACTATAGATTTATTTACTTTATAATTAAATGGGAATAACTGTGTAAACATACAGTCATGTGAATTATCTTGAATTTTAAAATCATCCGGGTAATCAACGTTTGTTTCTACGTCACAATCGATATCAGTTGCATTTTTTTTTAACAATCTTGCTCCTTTTAGCTTGATGTACAAGATTTGATGCAGCTTCCATTCCATCTGACTTTGTTATCACTCTTCCTAACAAGGGGAATTAGATATTACGTAATATCATTGGGGGGGGTCAGAGATATCTTACGCATATATATTTTTTCTAGCAGATGAAATAGACTTCTTACCTGGGAGGGGAGGGGATTAAAATTATATTACGTAATATCGGTAACTCCCCTAACAATATTTAATTCTTTTTGTGGCATAAGAAAACCGTAAATATATTTATTGACAAAATGCAAATAAATAAAATATAAAAATCATATTGTTTTATTATTACATAAAGAAATACAAACCAAGTTTTTTCTCAATAATAATTAATTTAATTTAATAAGAGCCAAATATAAATCACGATATTTTGGCTACCACATTATCGGTAATTTGTGAAAAAGCTGTAAATAGATTCGATCTCGAGTATTTGGCCAGTAGTGTGTTTTTAAGATCGTTAGACTCTGGTATCGATGATTGTTCGAGCATTAATATAAAGCTTGGATCGATTGGAACACGACCTATTATTGTATGAAACAATATTAATGTATGCCGACCAATAAATTAGACAACTATAGCCATTTACCCAAAAAATCTACTTCAAATTCTCGTGCCATAGCTTCGCCACCGCCGGTTGAGAATAAATTTGTACATTCCTATAAATTATTCATTTAATCTCTTAATAATTCTAACATGATATCAAATTCATATAAAAACTTCACACCAACCGCACAATGTGGACACACAAAACCACTCATATTCTCTATTACACCAAGAATAGGCAGATCTACTTTTTTACAAAAGTTCAATTCTTTCCTCACATCCGCTAAAGCTACCGCCTAAAATAAAAAAAGATTATTCTCCAGACCAACATGATTCTGCGTTATTTGAGCGGTAAAGTTCTATTCTCACTTGTGGGGTAGTAACAATTATTGCCCCGCCTGGTTTCACGCCTTTTAACGATTCAACTATAGAAATATGCTCATCCGAAGTGCCTGTGCTCATCAGTTATCAAATTAATAATTTACCAAATTGTTTCTCATTAGAGAATAAAGGAATTCGAAATCGAATTATTAACCTGGAGGTGTGTCAACAATCAAATAATCTAGTTCCCCCCAACAAACATCTGTAAGAAATTGCCGTATCATTGCTAAAATCCCGCAAAATAAATCAATTTAGAAAATTATCGGTAAAACAACAGCTGATATGGCATACAATTAAATAATTATGCACACAGTTTTTCTTTGGGCCTCGCCAAACAACCGAATCATCCTTCCTTTGTAACAAAAATCCAATGGACATGCAACAAAACTGTTGATTTTCGTCCACGTATACTGGTATCCACCTGGAAATCAATATGCATGTGAACCCGAAAAACTTTGTGTACGATAGTTGGAACAATTCGAATTTACTTACCCGGTAGAAGCTTGGTGAACCTGCTTCTCAGCCACTCCTAACATACGAGGTATACTAGGTCCTGTTAGGTCTATATCTAACACGCCTACTTTATTTCCCTTATTCACCAAACATAGAGCCAGCTGTGTCGTAATTGAACTTTTGCCAACACCTCCTTTACCAGATAATACAATTATAATGTGTTTTACACCGGCAAGGTTTGTTATAATTGGAGATATCGTTTCCTCGGCCATAGTTTATTTTACGCCTAAAGTAGTGGTTTATTGTTACAGAGCTAATAGGAATTTATTCCCGGGATGTAATATAATTAATAAAGTTTGTTTACACCAAGCTAGGTTTATGCATGGGTTTATGCATGGGTTTCTTAATGTTGTTAATTTATCCCGAAGTTGCTTAATAATTAATATTAATAAAATAAATAGATTACGAAAAAAAATTCTAGTGCCGATTATATGTATCTGGTTTCTATACTCATTTTAAAACTAATAACCTAGAGAACGTCTAAAAAAAGCCTAAAAAATATGTTAATATTGCCATTCTAAAGAAATTAAAGGATATTTTTAATTAGTGAAATTTTAAAATCCAAACAGTTTTGTTATCCAAAAAGGATTGAAAAGAATTGTCCTAATAAAAAATATGCTTCTTGATGGAAACTATCTTTCAGCTAAATTGGAGGATCCACTAAAGCCGGGTAATATCATGTGATATGGAATTCGATCCGGATCAAGATTATGTGTGAGAAGTAATGATTGGCTGAATAATTTTTTATTAACTTTTATCAAGTATAAACAAATCAATGCTAATAAAGAAATAGTTTATTTTTTACTAGAAGAATTTGATATCAATTTAGAGTTTCACTAAAGTTGCATAATATTATGTGATTTGGATTTAATTCGAATTCAGATCATGTGAAGAATTCATGTAATAAATAATAATTGGTTGATTAATAGATAATCATAATAATTATTGATTAATTAATAATTAAGAATAAAGCTTAAAATATTAAAGAATAAAACTTATTTATTTTTTATAAAAATAATAGTAATAAATATAATTATAAAATTAATTAATTTATAAAATAATAAATTATTATATTATAATTTTAAAAATTAGACTCAATAACTATTTAAATATATAACAAATATTTTAATAGTATTATTATTATCTTTATTTTTAATTTTTTAATACTTATTTCATACTTTTTCTAAAAGCTTATCTACTTATAATCTTTATATTTCTATTCTTTTTTTACTTGATCTAAATAGATTTAAATATTTATAACACTCATAAATTTTAAAATTAATTTTTATAAATATTTGTTAAAATTTCTTTTAAATATTAATTATTAGTAATTTATTAAGATTAAAAAGATATTTATAGAGAATATATTATAACTAATTATTTATTTATATGGTATAGTATATAATACAGTTGCAATATATAACACAATTACTAATTATTATTAAATTAAGTAAAGAAAAAATTTATATTAATTAAATTAATTTATTTTTAATCTTATTTTTAATTTATTTTATTATTTATATTTAGTTTTATTCTTTTATTTATTTAACTATATATATCATACTTAATTTATAATTTTATTAAATTAATAATTTTCTAATTAATTATTATTGATTTTTCTTTTTTTTCTCACTTTAATTATAAATAACTTTACTATTTTGCTAATTTCAATTCTTAATTAATTCCTTCATATTTAATTTAGAAATATTTTTTATAATAATTCTTCTGAGATTCTACTTGTTTTTAAGTAAATTAAATAGAATATTATATTAAAAATAATTTATAATTAGCATAATAAGAAAATATTATATACAAAGAGTTAAGAAATGATCAAGAAGAATAATTAAGTTTGATAGAAGTAATTAACTACTAAGTTAAGAATAGTTAATTAGTATTTTCTTTAATAAATATGTATATTTTATCTTATATCTTATCTTTATTTTCTTTTTATTCTATTAAGAAAGTATTTTATTAGAAGTAAAACTTATATAAATTATTTTATTGAGAAAATAATTAATCATTTTAAATCTTTTAAAATTATAAAAGTAAATAATTGATATGAATATAGTTACTCTTATTATTTTAAAATATTTGTATATGTATAAATTTAAAATAATAACAGTCTTTTTGATATTCTTTCTGTGAATAACAAATTAAAATTTAAAAATAATAATATATAAATTAATTCAAACTAAATCTTATTAAATCAATAAATATTGAAATAGAAAGATAATTTTAGAGATTGATCAATATTTTAAATTCATTTTAGTTAGATAAATCCAAAGAAAAAGAATTATACTGATTAGTTAATAGTTTATTTATAATAGATATAAAAAAAATTTTATCAGCAAAATATTAATTATAACTTTGATTTTAAAAGTACTCTTATGTCAGTTCTATCATTATCTATTTTAATTTTAATATCTAATATCTTTTTCATTAAGTTATACAGAAGAAATATAGCTTTAGCTTAATTAAGAAATATAAGAAAAAAGAATCAAAAGAAGAAAAAATTCAAAATCTTATTATTCTAGACTTATTACTATTTTAATCTTAAAAAGATCAAGAGAATATAGCAGAAATACTATATAATAACTAGTTTAAGTTTTAGATTCATTAATAAATATAATAATAACTTTGTAATAATTTTGATTGGATTATCTTTCTTTAGATCTCTTTTAGCTTAAATTTTTATTTTGCACTATTTATATAACAGATTAGCTTTGTATTACATTTTTAAGAAGATCATTTTCACTCTGGATACACAGATGATCATTATGTATTA